TGATAACAGGTGGTTGTCGGTTTTATTAATAGCAGTGCCTTTGTTGATTTGTTATGTTTTCTTGGTCACATTCTTTATCAGTTCTGTTTTGGATTCTTAATCGGTTTTCTGTGGTTAGGCCTCTGCAGGTTTTCACCATCAGCGCAGCTGTTTTGTTTTTACTCGGTCTGAAGAAATGGCATGCACATGATTCAGATTTGCAGAAGCTGCTCTGTCATGAGTCTGATTTCATTGTTTTATGTTGCACAACTGTTGCCTGTTGCCAGCAGCGACTAGTGGAGTCTGATAGATGGGCAGCCTGGATTTCAGACCTTATTCTGAAATCTTTCTGTATTTAGTCTGTTAATAACGGCACATACGGGTAAAAAAAATACTCGCAACTGGGAGATAAAAAGAAGCAGACCAAAAAAGATTTGTCTGCTGATTGATAAGGTAAAACACAACTAATGATATTTAATGGCAAAGTAAAATTAGAGACACCCTTTGAGTCTATAAATGTAAATAAACAAAAGCAATCTGTGATATGAAAGTAAGTCCCAGCCCTAAAATACTGAAATATACTAATATTGAGATGCAGTTTTATCAGCATTACTCGGCTATTTCTGGCTTCTCAGATCAGGTAAATTGTTAGAAATGTCAGATGCAGCATTGGGTAAGTAATGTGTGTCGTCCCACCATCCCCGTTGTGATGCTCAGCACTTTGGCCGACACTTGATGTCTTTTAAATGTGCTATATAAATAAAGATGACTTGACTCGACTTGACCTCGTGGGGACATCCATCAGTGTTTTCAGTGCGACAGCTTGTGAGTGACGTTCTGCTGCTGTTTCAGTGGGAGACGGGCGATTGGGTTACACTGAGGAGGCGCCGTATGATGCCATCCACGTTGGCGCAGCTGCACCCACCGTTCCCCAAGCTGTGAGTGTCTCTGAATTCTGCAGACCACATTGTTACCCTTTACTTTACAACAAATGCTGGATACCTAAACTGTAAACCTGCTTCATATTTAATTTAATTTAATGTGTTTTTATATCTGATCCAGTACGACTGTATCTAAATAGAATCCCTGGAATGTATTTTTAAAGCTGACTTGCTGTCCACCGCTACCTCTCCCTCCTGCCTCCCTCAGCTTCTGGATCAGTTGAAGCCCGGCGGGCGGCTGATCCTGCCCGTAGGTCCGGCGGGGGGAAATCAGATGCTGGAGCAATATGACAAGATGGAGGATGGCAGCACCAAAATGAAGCCCTTGATGGGGGTGATTTATGTGCCTTTAACAGACAAAGACAAGCAGTGGTCCAGGTGGAAGTGACTTCTTTGTCCCTCTCCTTCCCCCTCTCTCCTTCTCACAGTGGCAAAGGTGAAATGGTGTGGCTTGGAGCAAGGCAATGGATCACAAGGGGCTGCATTTTGCTGCTTGTTGACATTTTTTTGCTTCTTCCATACCATACCAACTAGCTGCACGTTTCCTTCATCTTCTTTTAACCCCCGTAGCTCTAAATTGGTCTCAATAAAAGCCGCCTGATTAATGCACTCTGCTCTGTTTCAAACTTGAGGGAATGAGCTGAAATCACAGCAGGTTGAACACACATGATTGGTTTTCAGGAGCATGACTGCTTTGCCAATTTGGAAGCTTATTACCCAACTTTAACTCAACTATTTTATCTGATAATCTTCGAGAGATGAAAACAACTTTTCTAATGACGTTTTATCTTAACATGTTGCATGCGGTCTTTTCTTTTAACTCTGTTTGCATGACAGCAAGATTTCTGCTTGTTTTTCTTGCACCTTGCCTCAATTTTTGTGTGTTCTAATATTTAAAATGTGTTTCTCACAGGGATGAACTTTGAAGAGGAACGCAGTCCATAATCCACCTTTTAAGTTTGAACCTGGAGAAAACTTGGAATGGGTCGGACAGCCCTTGACATTTTGTTCAAAGCATAACAAACGTGCTCTTTTTTTTCTTTTTTGTTTGTTTGTTTGTTTGTTTGTTTAATTCTAACAACGGACTAGAGTTTCACATTTGATGACGGCCCCGAGGGGCTGCGAGGAAAGACTGCTTGACGCTCTGCACAGAAATATTGGAGAGAGATTTATTGTTTTTGTTTTCCAGGTCTGCATCCTTTTTGGTTTGTGTTCGTTTTAACTGCTGGATTTTTAGTTTTTTTTCTTTGTTTTTTCTTTTTGTGGTTTCACCATTTGATTTGCAGTCAAACATTTTTCACAGCATTACATTTCAGCAGCATCAAAGCTGAATGCAGGAGGAACCCCGGACAACCAAGACGAAGAACGCCTGAGCCTGTTAGATAAATCACCTAGCTACAGTCTGTGTGTGTGTGGATCATAAAAACTGTAGACTTCTCTGCTAAAGTATGAGCTTTCTTCCCGTGGCATCAGTGTTAAAAACACAAACACACACATAAATTAACACACAAAGGCTGATGTAAACCCCCACCACCACACACACACACACATCCTGTTTGATGTGCAGCACTCTTAGATCGTTCTACACGTAAAATAAGTATCGGATCGTACCGAACATACTCCGAAGGGAGCAGAGCACTAATGACACCGACACATGCGCACGCACATACAGGGCTGTGCTTTCCACTTTGATGTGTTGCTTTCTGCCGCTGGTTTCCATTAACAATTTGTGCAGGCTCCTCTGGTGACTGACACTAAATGGGGAAAGTCACTGCTTTGCCAAAATAAACTCCAACAATATAAAGCAAATGAATGTCTGTTTTCTTGATGAAAAAAAAATCATGAAATTGAAAAAAAAAAAGCACATTTTATTTTGGGTGATCTGAGTGATGGATTATATTTGGCTTTCACAGTTGCTGGAATGGCATAAAAATAAAGAGATGCTTATGTTTTTGTCTGCCTTTTGTTATTGAATCTTTTTTGTACAAGTCTTATTTGCACTTGCTAGACACAGTGTTAGGTACACCTTACTAATCCTGGGTTTTCCTTCAGAGGTAACTTAATTCTTTGGATTCAACGAGGTGCTGGAAACACTAATCAGAGATTTTAAACTGATAGCATCGCACGGTCACACATCCATGGTGTGAATCACCCGTTTCACCACATATCAAAGGTGTTCTGTTGGATTAGGAACTGGTGACTGTTGAGGACATGTAAATCATGTTCAAGAAACCAGTTCGAGATGATTTGTGACATGGTGTGTTATTCTGCTTGAAGGAGGTGGTTCAAAGGGATGGAGATGATCACAAAACATATTCAGGTATGCTGTGGTGTTTGAATAGAAGAACCTTAATAGAAGAAAACATCTTCAACATCATTACGCCACCAGCAGCAGCCTGAAGCTTTGATACGAGGCAGGATAGAGCCATGCTTTCATGTTATTTGTGCTAAATTCTGATCCTAACTTTCAAATGTGACAGCAGAAATCAAGACTCATCACATCAATTCAGTACGATTTATTCATAGAGCGCCAAATCACAACAACAGTTGCTTCAAGGCGCTTTATATTGTAAGGTAGACCCTACAATATTACATAAATCACTGGTGAGCATCAGGTGATGCTTTTAGAGTATTCTATTGACTAATTGTGATGAGTCTCTGCCAACTGTAGCATCAGTTTTCTGTTCTTAGCTGACAGTAGTGGCACCCAGAATGGTCTACTGATATAGTCCGTTTGCTTCAATGTGTGATTCAAAGATACCGGGGTTGTAATGAGTGGTTATTGGAGTTGCTATTGCCTTCTTTTCAGGTCAAAGCAGTCTGGCCATTCTCTGATATCACAATGCATTTCTACCCAGAGAATTGCTGCTCACTGGATAGTTTCTGTTTTTCAGACTGTTCTCTAAACCCTAGAGATGGTGGTTTGGGGAAACCCCCAGATCAGCAGTTCCTGAAATACTCGGATGAGCTCATCAGTCACCAGAAAACATGCTACATTCAAAGTCACTTTAATGGCCTTTCTTCCCTGTTGTGATGCTCAGTTTGAACCTCATCAAAATTCCTAAATCCACTGAGTTGCTTGCAGTGATTGGCGGATTTGCAATAAGGAGCAGCTGAACAGGTGTACCTAATAACGGAGCAGATGAGTGAGTAAGTTGGTACTAAATCTAGAATCAGTTCCATGTACAGCCACAATAGAAGACACAAAATGGCTGGGCATACCTCGAAGCTACAATAAAAAGAAAAAAAAAAGATTAACAGATTCAGCCTTCAAGTTCTCTCCTCCATCAACAGTCGAGTCGCTATACTTGTTGAAATATATGCTGATTCTCTAAAAAGGACCAAGGTGGAACTGGCTCGGCACACCATCAGTAAAAAAGACAGGGCTGTGATAGAAATCCAGTTTTCTTCACGCCAAACCCTACGCTGCGACAAAGTAATGAAAAGTTGGTTGTAAAGCTAAATGATTTTAAACGATTTTTTCTTGACATAATGGACTAAATGTATGATTATCAAAATTCCAGAAATACAAGAGGGAGAGACGAATCTCTACAAATATGATGATCATCTCTAAATAAAATCGTTTTGGCAAATCCTGTTGTTAACATATATAACCCCGGTACTTTTTATTTATATAATAAACTTTAATATGTTACATGAAAGACAATACTTTGGGGGAATACATTTTCCAAAATAAATATATATATAGATATATGGTATACACTCCAATTATGTTGCCTTATTAGAGAAAAATACGCAACAAAATCATACAGGACTAGAAATTCACCAAAAGACTTTGCTATAGTTTTATATGATTCTGGCAAACTTTAAAGGACACATATCATAATTTCCAGCCGCGCTTTATATGATTCATAGTTCAAAATAATGCTTATTATTATTATTTGGCATACTTGGCTTTAAAACAGACTATGCTTAACTTCAGGGGACTAAAGGTCAGCGGAAAAGCTCATGAGCAAAGCCTCGAGTGTTTAATTTTTCATTAAAAAAATAATGTTCATTAAACTTCACACTTTACCAAACTCACTCACACCCCACCTACTGTGACTCTATGCTCTACAGTCTGAGAAACACTGCTTTATTTTACTGTTTATGCAAATATTTTATTACAGGCTGTGTTGAATATTTTGGCTGCCTGACCTTTTGGGACAAATTAAGTACACTCTATGTTTTTCTGAATAGCTACAGGTCATAAACAGAAGGTTTGACAGGCAGGTGGGTTGGGTTTCTGTCCTCAGACCCATGAATGTCCGTGTGGCTGACGTGACCAAATTTGGAATATCTGCTCTCACTGACATCCTAAAGAACCAGCAGGAAGAAAAAAGGACCTGAAACAGAGCATTTAACAGAGTCTGAAGCCTTCTCGCTCACATATGCTGACCACATGATTAGACTCTGATTATGTTTGACATGAACATCCACCATTGTAAAAGTGTGTATATGTGTTTATGTACATGAAAAAAATCAGGTCCTATAGGACTGTAACAGGCACTCGATGCTTTTTGTGTCTGCCGTACGGCAATTTAATGGGATTAAAACACACAGCAAAAATATGGCACATTAAAGTCGCACAGAGGCAGAAATAGCGCATGTTTTGTGCAGTAAAATGAAAATGTTTGTCTCAATGTAACCAGTGTTTAATAAATCAGTTGTAATAGTGTCTATTTTAGTATATGTATCAGAAGTAAAGGAGAAACGCTGATATTCCATCAGTGATTTTGTTAGGACATAGGTATGAATTCACAAGCATCTCAGTATGTTCGCTGAATCTATCAGCAGCTGATATACAGTGCCAGTCAGAGGGGATTGGTGTGGAGGTGTTCGGCAACGTTCACGGCAGCAGAGCTTTGGATCTTTCTAACAGGAAACGAGGATAAATTAAGAGACATCGAAGAAATGCAGAGTGCAAATTCAGAACGTCCTGGATCGGGCTCTGATGGTTCTTTTCTCGGGTCTCTGATTGGCTACAGGTACATGCCATTAATGAGGTAATCTGACTCCTCTGTAGTGAGGGGACGCGCTTTCTTCAGTTTGTGGCGGACGAGCCTGAGACGACAGCTGATCATGAGCAGCAGCAGGGCGGTGATGATTAGGCCAAGTGCCAGAGGAAGGATGGCACCTGGAGAAAGAAATGCGCCGCATTCAGAAAAGGTCATCGGATAGAGAGACAAGAGCCACAAAAAGCAGACAGAAGCTCTAGGTCTCACCTGACTCTGGGACTGGGTGTCCTCCCATGACTGGAAATGGTTTGGAGATGGGGGCGTCACTCACTGCTTGGCTCTGGGTGGCTTTAGGGGAAGCTTAAAAAATAAAACCGCTTAGATGAGAAAACAGCTGACTCACAACACTGAATTATTGACATGTGTTTGATTCTTTGGATGAATATACCTATCTCAGTCTGCTTGGTGACTGGAGGAGCCACACTAGCAGGTCTGAAAGCTGGACCTAAAAGGTGTTCGTAGATAATAAAGTCAATCTTACTACAAAATAAATCAATCAAAATGAATGTAAGGTGGGCTCTCACTTTTTTGTATGCATTCACTGACACAGTCCGACTCCTGGAGGAAGTTGTTGTGGTTTCCCTGGCAGCCTCCGTACAGGAAGTGTTTGCACTCTCCCACATTTTGGTCGTAATACCACCGTGGGAAGGTGCCTTTACAGGGTCCCACAACTGGAGCAGCAGCACATGGGTCTAAAGGAACAAGACACGGCCTTTATATTTAACACATTTAAATGATTCTTGCACGGCAATGACACCTGTTCAGAGACAGTAGTAAAAAAGCAATATCCTCTTTAGTGGCCAGCATGGGGAAACTCCTCCGGCTGGCAGAAGACTTCCAGTTGTGTAGAAGTCAGTGGTAACAGTCCTCAGTGCCCTTGATCTGTGACCTCAGTAAACAATTTTATGGGCTCAGTCACCAGCTTCAGATCATAATGAATACAACAAAATTAGTTTATTTTGGAATGTATGCTAATTATTAGAGACAGTGGTGTCCTCAGTTTCACTGTGCTGATCCCTCATTTGTCACATCAAGTTGAAAAAAATCAACAGCTCAAAGTTGAACACTCAGGTCGAGGCTGGAAGATGAAGTACATATTTAATACAGCCTTTCGTAGCTAGTGTTACAATTTTAATATCAAACTCTTCAACATTTATCCTACAAATGGATTCAGGTAAGTTGATTTTAGCATTGAATAATCAATATTAAATACTATTATGTAATAAAAGAGATACTGTTACAGTATTAAACATACTGCCATATTAATAGAATGGCACACCACTGGAATAACCCTGACTTTACATCTTTGGGTGAATTCGGCAACAGCGAAAATGACTGTATCTGACTATTTTCAGTGTATTTTCTACTTAAACAACTTAATACTGACATATTAATAATTAAGCATAGAGGGGCACTACTACTGTTCACTGAGCCTCATCAGAAATGGTCTCAGTGCGAAGGTGGCTGTGAAGAAGCCATTCTTAAGGAAGAGAAACAGGGAGAAAAGGCTGATGTATCCCATATTACACAGGAACTGGGATAAAAGTCAGTGGCTACATTTCTGATGGAGTGATAAATCCAAAATGAAAGTATTTAGGTTCAGTCTTTTTACTGCCAATTCAGTAAAAGCGTAGCTTGACAGAAAAACACACAATGGAACACCATCAGTCATGACTTGGCCTTCACAGTGCCCGGACCTCAACATCATTGAAGCAGCGTGGGATTATCTTGACAGAGAACAGAACAAAAGAGGGTCAACATCCAAAAAAGAGCTTTGGATGTCCTTCATGAAGCTTAGAGAACTACTCTTGAAGACTATTTGGAGAAATTACAATAAAGTTTATCTAAGAGAGTTTGAGCTGTGTAGAAGAATAAAGGTACGAACTCTGTTTTGCTTTATATACTGTATTTCCATGTGTGCATGCATTTCTTGTTTTTCTAGCAAAAGATAAAGAAATGAAGGGTGACCAAAAGACTGCTGTTGATAATCTGCAGCTTTTCTATGTTTGATATCGGACATCAAACGAGCTTGGCTGTAGGACTGTTGCTTGGACTTTGTGTCTCAATAAAGAGATAAAGTGATACGGAAATCTAAGATTACTTCGAGCCCTTCTACCAGCGACTTAAGATATCATCCAATGTCATCATCCACCTTGAGTGCAAAGGTCAAAGCCCTCTACACAACAGTGGATTAACTATTTTTCCTTTTGACTTTGAGCACTAAACAATGAGGTATCATCTTAGTTTCCTAAGAACTTGGACGTGCATTTGTCGAATGAAGAAAAGACTCCTGAGAATCCACCTTGAGCACAAAATATCTATAGTAAAACAGCAGTGTGGTCAGTGACATTCAGGGATCGGATGGCAGAGCGGACAGAGGAGCTTTGTTCCAGCACTCAGAGTGGATGCAGGCAAAGAGCTGCTTTCCCAGGGACCGCAGAGTGGCCCTGTGGCTTTGCCAGCATTTTGAGCTCTGTGCCATGACTCAGTGGCTGCCTACAGGCTCCATCTGCTTCAGTACTCAGACACACCAAACCCTCTTGGTCTCTTCACAAAGGGGATTCTGCACCAATGACACAAATTCCTGTATCCTACATTTTCATATTCTTCTGTTTCTCCTTTCCTAAACCGACTGCAATGAAGAAATGCTCCAAAGTGTGACTAAAGTGCTTTAAACATAGTTAACATCAGCATTTTATATTAATTGCCTAAATCTGTCTAATAATGAGCTAGCTGAGTACACTGTAGACATGGGCTTTCATCTATAAAGGTTTTGGCTGCACACTGTCTCAGTTGTGGCGTTGCCTCGTTGGAGGCTGGGACTACGCCATAAAACGACCTCTGTGATAACACATGCCAACCTATTTCTTCAGAAAACCGTAGGCTACCTGGGCTTAACATAGTACTTTTTATTTCCTCCAAAATAAGCTTTATAGTCCATATGCTTCTTTTTTCAGTGTCTAGCCCTGGACAACAAAGGTTGCCTTCCTTTGTGCTGTCCATGCTGCTAAGAATAGCTTCTTTATTTTGCTAAAAAAAAAAGAAAAAGCTTAATTATTGTAAAAATAGAAATAAAAGAAATAACTACTAGTATTTTGTTAACCCTGCTTGCTTTACAGGTGAACTAATAACTTCAGCATCACTTTTAAGAAGAGGCTAGCAGTTGGCCAATCAAACTTGGCTTACATGCTGTTTTACTGGAGCCAGACCGCTGGCTGTGACAAACGACTGGCTCTAGTTTTAGTGCAGACGTCCAGCCCAACCAGTGTTAATGCTAAATATTCCTGAAACTCTTAACTAATTAGTAACATGAACTCTGTACAGATGTTGTGTTAACAGTTGGTTAATTTTTGCTTTGATGGAATTTCTTATGTTGGACTCGCGGCACCATCTTGTGGTTTACAGTGGTTATCATGATGGCGTGAACCCTGTCCCTATTTCAACTTCACTTTATATCTCTGCATCTTGTACAAAGGCTCCTTTTAAATAAGTGTTTTTCCAAGTACCTTGGAGCATGAACACCACCAGAGACGTTATAGGAGAGAGCCAAGGCACTCAAAAAACCCCGAATAGAAATTTATGGGAGAACTACTCATTGGCCGGCCTTCCTTGAGAGCCAACCAACAGCCAGTCTGGTGATTTATGAGCCAATTGAATTGTACTGAGCCATGTCCCCAAAATACTTTCACAGTATGTTAACTGTGTGCTGGCAGGCATATCTGAACGTCATAGTAAAGATGTAGGAAAGCATCCTTATCATTTTTCCTTATCACTTATCAAATTTGTATTCACAAATGCGAATTAGCATGGTGTGTACGCGGTAGTCTGGTGGGATGAACCAAGATGTCGATCATGTTGGCACTATGGACTGAGCCAATCAATCAAGCCACACTCCTGTGAAACTTTGAGTTGGTGCTGCCGAAGTACAAGTTGTGGGAGAAAACATCTTTTTAAACCTCACTTTAATTTAAGTGCTTTTAAAAAAAATCTTATCTGAGTAGTGATTCTATATTTGCTGCTTTTATATCCCCGAGAACATTAAAATGACAATTTTAAGATGCCTTCAGAGTGGTTTTACATGCTTTTACAAGGACTTTGACCTCTCTACCTTGACTGACTGAAGCTTCCTGTTCACTGGCACTTTGAGAAGGAGCTGCCTTGCTTGTGTCTTGCGGTGTGATGGTCTTCCTGGCTCCAGTCGGGAGCATGAAGACGTCTTCAGCTTTCTTTGTCTGAGCGACAGGCCGCTGAGGGCTGGGCAGGTCCACAGCGTGGGTCACTGACTTTCGGCTGCCATCGACTAGAAAAAAACAAAAGAAGCCATCGCTTAAGGGAAGGTATGTTTATGGATTTTTGTTAGCATTTATATTGATGAAATGACTCAAATAATTTCAGGCCTTACAAAAGACTTCTATTATCCACTCATCACATAAATATAATAACAGCTATTTTACTCACTGGTTGTAAATTTGATCTTTTAAGACAGCTGTACATTAGCGTAACACATACTTTTTACAGGTTAATTGACCAACGGCTCTCTTTTTAGTCATGCTGGCTTCAGCTGAAACCTGAGTGAGTTCGGGCTTGTTCAGAAGCACACTGCCATATAAGAAAGTGTCGTTCTTGATTTATAAGAGAAAAGAGTTTTGTACTGAAATTAATTAATTTTATCTAGTATGCATAATCATTAAAAGTGAAACTTTAATAGAAATGAAAATTGGATTAGTCTTCCAGCTCTAACAAAGTGAGTACAAGGTGTTTCCTACAGTTTGGGCAGAAGTCTTCGTCTGAGCGGTCTGGACAGTGCTGCTTCCCATCGCAGGCATAGGTGATGTCAATACAGCAACCGTCATCACACTTAAATTGGTAGTTCGAGCAGTGACCGGTACATACTGTGGGCACAGATAAGAATACAGTAACTACACATCTTCTCTTTTAAATGGTAAAGGAATATGTCACAAGTCACGCACCCTTTAGCGGTAATCAGTGCAGCACAAAGGAAGTTGCAGAACATAGATGGAAGTTTTGGTGAGTTCATTACCTTCTGCTTGGTGTTTTGGAGCCAGTACGGTGACAGAGATGTTATCGGAGCTCTTCTGTCCCGCCGTGTCAGTGACAGTCATCTGAAACGTGTAGACTCCTTCCTGGAGGCCACTGATCTTCAGCAACCCTGGATGTGTTGACTTTAGCGCACAAACAAAAAATACATCTCTGAAGCAATCAACTTCTAGACTAGCCAAATTAAAAAAATCAAAAACACCTAGTGAGGACTACTGTAAAACAGCACTGGGTTTTAAACATGTAGCAGTATATGCATCATGGATCATACATCCATCCTACTTACTTCTCTGACAGACTGGCTCAGCTCCACTGGCACAAGAACAGATACAGGAAATGTTCCATACCACATGCAATCAATCCTAGCAATGCACCACATCTGTGTAGCAGATGCTCTCTCTCTCTCATGCTAACACTTTATTTTATCTTTGCACAATCACAACACTTACACAGTCATACTGACGCCATCTGATATTTACTATGCTGTTTATATTACATGTTTTTTTATTTCCTACATGTTTTTTGCATTTTGGATTTTTGATTTTGACATATTTTTTGTTGTTAGATTTTACAACATTACTTATTAAATGTAATTATTTCACTTTATTGTATTTATTTTATTTTATTTTGACAAAATGTATTTTCTACTTTTCTACTTTAAGCTAATAAGGCATAAGTAAGGTCTATCTATTATCTTATCAATAAAAATCTGTACCAGGGCAGGATATACAATACATATAAAAAGACTAGAAGAATGATTAAGAGGGACGGGTACTGAGGGACGGAGTGAAGGGTAAGTAATAAGTGTTGTGTTGTTTCTCCTTTGCTTTGATGATTTTGATTTTGTGTGTTATTTTTAGCTGCAGAGTTTTGTATCTGACATCATTTAATATTTCTGTACTATTGTTATTTTTGTGCCATTGTGCTGCAGTCAGAATCACCCCAGTATTAAAAGCAAAATTAGCAGAGCAGAATCACCTATAAAATGCTGAGACTGGACATCTTCTGACAGCATCACCCACTAGTTTATCTTCCAATTGTTTCCTTTTTACCATACCTAGGTTCTTAGATTTCATATTAGATTATACTGCAGATTTTTTAGACCAAATAAAATTTTCCATAACTTGGCCCATGAGTTTTATATTATATTACATTATATTATATTACTGTTGCCATACATAATTTTTAAGAGTTGTGCAACCTGCTATGAACAGAGAGTTGCTCTGTAATGAGCACTGTGTCAACATGGTTCTGTACTTCCCTGCCAATTGTTTTCATTGGGAGCTATTTTCTGTTAAAGGTAGAAAATACAGAAAATTAGTGGTTTTAATATTTACATAAGAACAGGAAAATGTTCTTTAATGTTCTAACCACAGGACAGTGTCTCGTATTGCTGCTTACCTAGGGGCAGTTTAGAAATAATAAACTCTTTATTTGTGTTGATTCAGTTAACCATTGTGGATCTCTGCACACAAGCCACTCTGTTGACTTAACTAATGAAAAAACCCAAACGCATTTAGCTTTCTGGGTATTCATATTGCAAATGAAAACATCAGAGACACCAGAAGGAGAGAACAATAGAGATGTATATATATGGATCTTTAGTCTAATCCTTTGTCACCGCCATAGTTAGAGGCTTTCATCTACATCTGTATAGACTGTACTGACTAAGGCACATGCTGACCTTCATATTGATGGCTGTGTCTCCTTTAATCAGACTCCACTCATAGCGGCGGATCCCGTGGTCGTCCACGCTGTCACGGCCATCCAGCACAGCCCAATCTGTGGGCAGCTGGATAACCACATCCTGTCCAGCGTCACTGCGAGGAGGCTCATCCACGTCTGCAACATCAAGCACGGGTAAATGGAAAGTGTCCTCTACATGCCTCTTTATTTACTCTCTTCATCCAATTTTCACATTAAATCATGTTTGATTCTATCGCAGGCTAAAACATGATTATATATTTTTTGTTTTTTATCCACATATATTCTTTTAATTCCATTGCTCAGGCCCAAAGCCCCTCACAAAAACATCTGCTTCTATTCTCAGGAGGGCAAGGCTACAAACCTATGAGGCAAATCATTAACCCTCTCTACTGCATTATCTGGATAAGTAGCAGGTGGTAAAGGCTGGTTCTGCTGTTAAAGTCAGTTTCTGTCAGCTGTTACAAAACTGACAGAAAAGTTGTTATCCTGTTTTAACAGCAGGGTTTCCTGGTGGGATTTAATTAAAAAAAAAAAAATACAGTAAACTAACAGAAAATTACCCAAAGTAGGTTTTTGCCACAAACCTGAGGAAAATTAATAAATTACTTTTGGTATCTTAGCTTATAACACCTCATATAGAGGATTACAAAAGCCCATCCAATATGATCATCGGTGATCTAATTATAACATCATAATTCAAGAAATAATTGCTGTCATAACAGGAAAAACATCCTAATGAATAATAACTTTTCAGCAACCATTATGAGCCACTGTACATGCTATTTTCTATTGCTCCATCAATTTTACTTAAACATACATGAAGGCATGGACATCCTATCATTTTCTAAATAACCTATCAGTTATAAAACAGTTCTAAACCCAGTAACTAACACTGCGTGTGTCTGCAGGGTCTCTCACCTGCATCATCCTCATCAGGAGCTTCTTCTCCGGGTCTCCGGGCTGAGTCGCTAGATGAAACAGGGAGGTGTCCCTGCGTTGTGTTGGGAGTCCGGCTGTATGTTGTGAAGCCTTTCTGAGCCGAGAAGGCGCACACATTCTTACTCCTGTAGGTGCAGTTAAACAGGTAGCAGCGGAGACTGTCCCCGGGCTGCCTCTGGTCCTCGTGAAGAACCGCAACGGTGCAGTGAGGCTGGGAGCAGCAGGCGTGCACACAGTCCTTCCTGGTGTACACCCTGTCCGGGGCCAGCAGGAAGGCGGCTCCTTGCTCGATGGAGTCCTTGGCCCGGATGATGCGATCCCCCGCGGCACTGAAGTCGCCCACGCAGGAGTCCATCACTTCACCTGTCCTGTAGGTCTGGTCCTGCTGCAGCTGTTTGCGGAATTCCTCCAAGAGCTCCTCCACCCCGGATATTTTGGATTTCAAGTCCGATATAGGCGAAGATCGAGCGTCGATGCTGCCAAAGGCGAGCAGCAGCAGCAGCCCAACACAGGCGAGCAGCAGCCGGGGATGCTGAAGCAGAGCCATGTTGTTGATCACACAGTCAGACGGCGTCTCCCTCTGCCTCCGGCTGGCCTCCCGCTCATGAAACTCCTTCCCGGCACAGACGGCCTTCCTACATTAAATATATCCCCGTTATTATCGTTTAACGCCACTGCTAGGCTGAACAACCAGCTGTAACCGTAGAGCTTACAGTTCGTCCTTCGACTGTGCTGGAAATCTGCTGTTGTCATGGTGAGGGGGAGTCGGCGATGGCTGCTGACGTCACGGGGATGAATAAACAGGACGAAAAGCAGCTCACCTGTTAACTGCTCTCATCCACCGGCGGGGGCTGTTTGAGTCAGTGTCGTATATTTTTAATTAATCTATCATGTTAAAATAGTTTTAAAATCTAAAAATCTTAACTAATGATGATTTGAATAAAATAAAAGACATAAAATACATGGAAATAAGACTTCCCATCTCTCCGAAACATTGATTAAATCTTTACTATCCCATACTGCAATACCTGCATTTATTTATTTTATATTTTTGCTCATTAAAATTTTAATTGAATTATGAATGTAACTGTTAGATTTTATATTTTCATGAGTTTTTCTTTTGTTGAATTATCAAGTGCTACTAGTC